CTACTTACAAACTGGATTTCCGTGATAATATTCAGATTCGCATTGCATGTGTCACAATTTGTCTGTAGAGCCTTTTCCAAAAACATCCCCAGATTCAAGTTTTTGGGAAATTTGTAGGTGGAACTATAATTATGCGTCGCAGTGTATGCCCCGGCGATCTCGCGTGGCCGTGCCCGCGTCGCTCTCGCCGCTGCACGCCCACCCTGGCTCTAGCCGCTTAGCAGAGAGTGCGTTAGCGTTGGTGAGGTCAGCACCGATGAGATACCCGCAAAACAACGAGCATGGGGAGATCACAATTCGGGTTATATGCCGTTTTTCTTGTTTTTTCCTTCATCCCTCCACCTTGTGATCACCTTTACCTTGATTTCCAGTCGGCTGTCTTTTGATCGTAACTTCAAACATCAATGCATAATGTACAAGGGTATCAATGAGGCTACTTTCTCAAAAGTAAGTAAATAAAATAGTTAGGTTTGAGTAAAAACATAGAAATTAGAAAGAAATGAAAAAGAAATCATGCATACGTATTAAAGCGTCTAATACCCGAAAATGGGATGGCATTCACAGATGACTTTAAAAGCGAGATCATTAATTCTTCTTTAGGATCTTCGTGATTATCTCCATTATATGAACCATTACAGCGTTTTATATGTAATTCCTTTAGTCTTTTATTGACCCTTTGTTGACCTTTATTGCAGGATAGGCGCATTTGCAAATAATGATGGCTTCTCTATTCCTTCCAACGTCGATTGAATCAAGCCCCGATGCTAAATGGGTGACTAACACGACCGTCAGGTTAGCTCGGCGAGCGCGGCTGATTTCCAAGAAGCGCCACTCTTCTGTGGATCAGAAAGTATAGTGAAAACGGTCGAAAAGATCGTCCCACTAAGAATTCTGGTACCCATAGTTTTTGAATTTTTCAATAATTTGCGTACATTCAAGAATTGAACATTCAGCAGGAAAATCGATATCGGCTTGAACCAAGGAATCCCTACGAGCATAATATCTGGCGATCTTGCAGTCAAGCTATTGGTGCCGAAGCTTATGACTAAAAGTTTTGAGCACAAAAGTCACGTTTTCCCGTCTTCTGTGTCAAATGTCCGGTTACCCTAGACCCATCGAGCGGCGAAACGGCAGGGACGCAGACGGATCAGCGGACGAGTTGCGATGTGTGACGAATAACTGCACAACTTATTTGATCTGGGGCGGAAGTGGTGTAGTGACAAGTGCCACGCTTACCACGCGAGCGGTCCTGGCGACAAATCCTGCGTCGTTGAGTCGCCCGGGGGTACCAGACTTGTCTGGGAGGATAAAAACACTGACTTGTACATCGGCTGGCCCCCGCAAGTCATTGTATAGGCCACATCGCATTCAAACGCCACTACGAATGTACAAATGGAAGTAGAATGCGTGCCGCATCCCAAAAAGGGATTGATCAACGGCAAATGCTTTATCCTTTTTTATTATTTAATCTGACGCTAAATCGACACAGTACGCGCTGCAACTCGCCCGCCGACCCGTCTGCGTCTGCTGCTATCTCGCCGCGTGACGGGCCTCCTGTCAGGCACCCGGATTTCGTCCAAAATGTTATTCATGAACAAAATCAAAAATCAACAGACTGGTGGCCCCTTCCATACCATGACCATAGTGCAAAGTGATCAGATGCTGTTTACGAATGCTTTTTCAGTGAACATAACACAAACACTATATACGAAGGAAATTTATTAAACATTTGTAAACATATATGCGGCATCCCAACTCAACTCAACATAGGACTCGCACTTCGGCGACGACTACCAAACAAAATAAGCGACTAATAGATTTACTTTTATATGATATTGAATGTAGGACAATCTGATACATAACGGCGGGAAAGTCAGCTATCGAAGTACTGCATCGGATACTTATCAGCAGGTGAATACTTGTATTGCGGTTGACCGGGCGGAACAGCCGCGTTACCAGTTGCACCTCTCCAACCATGGAATGAGCTGTTTTGGTTGAGGCCCTGCGACGGCGACGCCATCGAACTTCCGTTCACTCCACCCCAACCTAAGTTATATCCAGGAGGTGCACGCACCTGAAACACTTATATTCATTCCCATGAAAAGAAGACTGTTGGAGCCCTTTTTAAGCAAATGTCCTTACCTGAGAGGAGTCCGACGGAGTTCCATTTCGCCACAGTTCGTGATGAGAAGACTGTTGAAGCAAAGGATGAGCCTGTTCCGACGACGGTCTCAATGGACGAATGTCGGCAAGATTACCTAAAGGTGTTGACCACGACCATGGTGACGCCGCAGGAGCAGCGGATGCAACTGCAGAGTCATCCAAAGGAAGTGATGCTGGTGTAGGCACTGGCCCCGGCCGAACACCTATCGGTAGGGGCTGTTTCATAGGAGAACGCTCGAATAGTTGAGCCGTTGGAGGGGGTGCGCTCGAAAGTCCTCCCGACACAGATCTTGAACTAGACGACGGCGACTGTGGAACATGCGAATTCGTCGAACTAGCAGAAGTGTTGTCTCGAGGTGAAACTGTAATAAAATATTTCAAATATTATCTGATACACAACAACCCCTATAATTAATACCATGAGAGTTGTAGCGGTTATTCTGTGGAGTTCTTGGTTGGCCAATGACTCCAGCGGGAGGCGGTTGAATCACAGACGATACGGATGTTGCTGTTGTAGGGCAGGCAGGCGTAGATGGTTGTACAACTTGAACTGGAGGCAGACGGACTACCTTTGGAAGGGTAGGTGCCGTAGGGACCTGGAAATTAAATGCTTAGAGGACCGCAGAGCTATGACTCAGTAAACTTCATTATAAAAACACTCTGGTATTAAAAAAATTCGCTTTATCCAGCCGACTTGAAAACAAATGTGATGACCAGTAGTAAAGCGAACCTTTAGTTCTGTGAACTGAGCAAGTGTTCTTTGTCCTTTACGGATAGCATCGCAGGCAGCTTCAAACTCGTTGCGCGCTTGGGAAATTGCCGACACACAGTCTTCGTGCACACACTTCCATTCGGCAACACTTCGTCTCATCGTCTCCATATCGGAATGAGTTCGAGCACTGAAGTGAACGCAGCTTTTCCAATAAACACTCATGTGCTAGATTCGTCTAATACCAAACTTTGCTTACCGTTTTAAGTTATCTTCGGCTTCCGCAAGACTGAGTGCTGCTTCATCTCGAGTCTTTTCCAAAACACTCACTCCAGCGGTCAGCATCATGCCCACTTGGGCAACCTCAGCGGAACGTGCACGATCGATGAGAGAAGCGATTTGAGAAAGATGCTGTTTTCTCTCCTAAACAATGAACAACGTAACAATGAATGAAAGGGAGTTAAAGATAATTTAATTTAGATGGTCGATTTGGTTACTCGACTATCGAGCAATTTTAGGCATCGTATGCTGCCGTGCCTCCCAGAACTCGACTTGATTTTTGTTAAATTTATCGATTTACTCAAACAAAAAAGCACGAAAATCAAAGATCAATCGCACTATTGAATCAAACTGTTCAATTGAGCTAGAAGTTTTGGAATACAATTCAAACGACAAGAAATTGAGGGGAGAGGCTTTTAAAAACAATGAAACAAACTGTGTTGTTACACAACGCACCTTTTCCCATTTTTGTTCACGATTCTTCATCTCTCTTCTGTATTCGTCGTGCTGCTGGCGTTCTCGGTCTCGTTCTGCTTCACGTTCCAGCGTCTCGCTTTCCAATCTGCGTACTTGCTCTGCATCGCGTTCCTGTATTTGCACAACATGTAGGAAAATCAGCACAATAGAAATATTAATCCGCACGGCATTTCTCGACATCTAACAAATACTCGCTGAATCACCTTCTCTTTCTTCGCTTTGGAACGATCTTCCGCGGCCTTCTTTTTGACTTGGTCTAGCTCTTTTTTGAGAGCTTTGACCCTATCTTCCAGTTCGAGCTTCTCAGCTTCAAGTGTTCCTATACGAGTTCTGAAAAAAGGACCCATAGAAATGTTATACTTGCATCTGATATGACCATGAACATTGAGAACAAGTCATACTCGTCTTGTTTCGATTTCTTCTCCATTTTCTTGAGGTTGCTACGTGCTTCTTTTAGTTGAGCGGTCAATTGTTCTGTTTTTGCCGTTTCTTCTTTCAGTTTCGACGACTCAGCCATACGAAGTTGCTCAGCCTTGAGATGGGTAATGTTACTCAGGCACTGATTATTTTCCAAAGGAAGCATTGAGTGAAATTTATTGAGAAAAGCACCTTCTTTCTATGTTCCACTTCCTTGACAAGGTCAGATTTTGCTTGCTTGCATGCAGCTTCAGTCTCAGCCAGTTTCTCCTCGTTTCGCTTCATCTGCTCAGCAGCACTGAAAAACAACGCTTGTGCGCATGTGATGCGTATACAATGAAGAACTGACAAGATATTAAAATTAGCCAAATCATACAATTAAACGCACAATTTCGCTGAGCAATGAATGTTAAATTCCTGATAGCAGCGAAGGTACAGTATGCTATGGTGCGAAACTACCGATTTTCTATCACAAAAGCGATTTTCGCTCCCACCAGCCAACGACTACTTGGCACGTTTACCAACGTGAGATGTGAGCTCTCGTGTCTTGACGTGGAATCTCACGGTAACATGCACAGCATGAAGAATTGGTAAATAAGAATCGAAAAGATCTAAGAGTAAGGTGAAAAAGGGTGCGAACAATCAAGAAATGAAAAAGGGCAAATGTAGAGAAATTATATTGCATGACGCAAAAGAAGTTGACAGATAAAGTGAGAGATAAAAAATGAAAAAGAAAAGGAGAAATGAAAAGCGGTCAAAAGAGAGCAAAAAAGAAAAAGCAGCAATGGCAACTCAGACCCAGAGTTGCGAGAAAAAATTAAGACATGCAGTTATAAACAGACGAAAAGAAGGCAAAAAGAGGGCAATACGAATAAAATCTAAGGATGAATTGACCTGCACATTGCAAATAGGAGAGGAGATGAAGTTATCAAAATAGGCATTAGCTGCACCTTTGTATCCTGCATAAAAAATAAGCCAGTAGAGATACGGAGAAGAAGAAAAGATGGCAAAAGTAGAAATTGAAATAATGACAGCCTTCTAGTCACGAAAAAGGACACTCATTAGTTAGTTGCGAATTACGTTGAAACATAAAAGCGCTAGTTTCAAAACATACCGCAATGCGTCAGGGCCTTGGATAATCTGTTGTACTTCTCTAGCTTGAGCCACCATCGTCTCCATGCGATCTCCAGTCACCTAGATAAATGAATTTTTTTATGAAGTACTTCCAGAGAAATTCATCCGAATTGTGCCACATACAGATAGTGTTTGTGAATAGTTGAAGAGCTGTACTAGCAAGGCACGTAAACCTATTGAGCTATTGTTAGGCTCCTTTTCCATGGATTCGATCTTATCCAGAATCTAAACAAACAGAAAATAATCGTGATTACATGTGAGGAAGAGATACCACAGTTTTCTAAAATATGTACCAGGTCGTGGACGCGGCAATGACTGATTTCATTCAGCAATTCGCGCATCTGTTGTTCGACGTCTTCTCCCGAGAGTGATGCGCTATGCAGCTGCAACTGTTACAAGGGTTAATTTTCATTGTGAAAGGGAGAAACATTTCACACTAGTACCTCTTCGAAGTCATCAATACTTTCCTCATCGTCGGCTTCCGAAAGAGATACCGCGAATTCGGACGGCGGCTCAGAAGGCGGTGAAGCAGGACGTTGCTGTTGTTGTTGTTGCTGCTGCTGATTCGTCTGTGACTGGGGTAGTCTTCTTTGTGCTGCTACTGTTTTACGAGCTAAAAATGATAAGCATGTATTCTGACTAACAAACAAAAACGACGATTGAGTGCCTACCAGATTTCCCACCATTAGCAACGGCTGCGGCCTTTGAAATTCTTTTGGGAACTTCTTCACTCGAAACGTTGCTCATGAAGCTCATTTTGGCAAATGTAGCTGTGAGGATCTGAAGCAACTCAAAGGTTAATTTTCATGTGAAGACGAACAAGCGAGGTATGAACTTACTTCTGACTCGAACATTTGTTCTACGACTTTCACAAAACTTTCCGCAGCCTTGTAGATACGATTCGAATGCACTGTACACAGCCCAGATGCAAGACAACAAGTTCCATGATCCTAATCATGGGCAAATCTCATTGCGAAGAAAGAGGTATTTTGGTCGTTACCAGAAACGTATATCCAACAGAAGAATTATACAAAGTTGGCAAGCACATACATCGCTGATGATTTCTAGTCGTTTCTGCATGATGGCGTTGAGTGGCAGTGAAACAGCGCATCGTCTCGTCAGAACCGGCAAGTTCAGGTGGAATCATATCCTGACACTGTGACAAAGAGCCTCATTAACCACCACAATTGAAAGAAAAACGATTAAACAAATTGTTATTATTGCCAAAGCCCTTCAGTGCCATGAAAATTCTTTTAATCATGTAATTTTTCACGAAAGAGCAGGTTACATACTGCGGCTGCGCTTAACCACCGTAACCAAATCCGATGGAATTACGTAATAACAGGACAGGAATACAGGACTTATTCGCGCCATTTTAGGAAATGATGGAGATGAGGCTTTTCGAAAGGCATGATACGCAAATTTTTCGATCTCAACAGCTTTCACACACCCGTTATTTATGAGTTTTCGACGCTTCACTCAACCGCACAGAAATAAGTCTCAAGCGATTTTTCTCTTCAAACTAGTCATACTAACAGTGAAGACTTCTTTAATCAGGTTACGGCTAAAAAGCATGATCACTATAACAAAAGCAATATTTCAATAAATTCCTTTTCAGACTTGGTGTGGATATCTGCTCAATCAGAAGAACAAAAAAAAACGATTCAAATCATACTTCGTATGTATACATATAAATTCACTCACAAAGTTGTCAATACCGAAATTCTTGATGCAGAACTGAAGAAGGCGCTGTTGATCAGCCTCCGAAATTTTCTCCACTTGCTGGAAAGAGATATTGCACTAAAATAACGGTTAAGGAAACAAAAAGCTTGGGGAATGTTCCGCTAAGAGTGCTAAAAACTGACCGGCTGCTGTTCTCGAGTCTGCATGATTTTCTGGAGAACTTCCTCGGTAGACTCTGCCATTTTCGCTACATTATCACGGAATAAAGAGTCTTTCGATATTCCCGATCCCGCATGTCTCTGCAAAGAAAAAGCATACTGAATATGCACTAAAGGGTAACAAAAACAGTTGGATGTCACCCTCACTCGTTCCCTCGTTGTTGATGACTGCACCGGTGGAGAAGTAGTCACCAAAGAAGGAGTTGTTTCCGGAACTGGTGCTGGAGTGAGGGTGGCGATTTGTTGAGCCTCAATGTCGCCACTATCTTCCGTCTGACAACCGTTTTCACACATCTCGACTTCAGCATGCTCCGTGACGTTCTCCTTCAAAACACACAATTAAATCGATATTGTCAACAGCCTCATTACACTTCTGGCTGAAAACAAGACTACCTCATAGTTCTCATTATCAAGCTCTTCATCTTCTGGTTCAAGGGAAGAAATGGATGAATGGCGGCAAGCATCACGATGATGGTGAAGTCCACAGCCACACACTTAAATATTGGCCATTATAAAAGACAAAACAGCAAGTGATACCAAAAAAAACGGAATTTCATTAACTGTTGGAGAACAACCCATCACATTTGATGTACTGATTCGTTTAATCAGTTGCCCTACTACTTTAATGGAATTGTTATGCTCAAAATATATCCGAATTGAACCAAACTGAACTATATTTCATCTGTTACATACCTATAAGTCCTTCACTATGATCTTGATTATGAGGGTATTTCCAGAACTAGTAATTATTACTGTTATATGAAGTTACGGAAACAATATTACAT